TAATACTGTTTTAAGAACAACTTTGAGTGACTATTATAAATATGCAAATTAACTACAAAGGACATATAAAGGAAAACACTATCTGCATCCAGAGAAAGAACTGAAAAACAGATTATGGAATGGTTTTACACACACACACACACACACACACACACACACACACACATCTTTAGGGCTGTGGGTGGGGAGGAGGGAAGAAAAAAGAAAAAAAGAAAAAAGGAAAGTTACATAATAACTATTTTATATTTAAAAGGAATAACAAGTAGTACATAATAGATTTGTAGTTTCATGTACAACCTTTTTTTTCCCTATTCTACCATTTCCATAGAAATGCTTGTTTTATTTCTTAAGTTCAGAATAAAATAAAAAAAAATAAAAAAGAATATGATGGAGAAAATGTTAATATTGCAGATTAAACTTTGAAATGTTAAAAAAGATAACATTTTTGAACACTGGGTTTCCTCAAAACATAAATTGCAAAGAAGTCTATGAAAGCAAGTTACATTTTATTACAAACAATAACCTGCATCACAGGAAGAAAAAAACCTTAATAAGATCTTGAATTCACATTGTTAGAATACGTAATAAGCCTTTTAAGGAAACTGACTTTTTATAGGCAAAGTAAAAAGCATTCAGGGGTTAGATAATTTTGTAATCTATGCACTGAAGAATCATTTTAGAAATAAATGTCAAGGCTATACAGCAGGAGATTTAAAAGCATCTGGTAAGAGAGAGTGGGAGGAGTCAGAGAGGAGAGACAGCATGAGGAAAGATGTTACAGGAACTGAGCAGCTGCACCATGGTGATTAATCAGGTCCCTGGGGACATTGTGCAGTATGTGATCCAGGACTAGCCTGGGCATAGAAGGCTAGTTTCACGGGCAACCTCTGCTCTAGGAATCAAAAAGACTTTCAAGTGAATTTGGTGAATGATCACACTCCTAAGAACTGCAGAAAAAGGTGCTAAAGTCTTTTTTTTGCTTTTTCTTAACCTCCTTTCTGTCTCCTTTAGTTAGATGCAACATGGTTTCTGGTTTCTGATATGTTTCTTTGCAATGTTTTAATTTGATTTGTTTTCCCTTCACATAAAAGCACACGTTCAGACTTGAAATGGGGTAAACAGCTTTATACGTGGGTGGAATATAGAGGGAATTAATGGAAAATACAGTGATATCTGAAATCTAAGGATATAAAATAGGGTAGAGGTTATAGTCTCTGATCAATGATTAGAGAAAACTTCTCTAACCAGGGAGCTCAAGCTAGAATTTCATTAATATCAACATGTATGTTGATAAGATGTCTACATCAGTACAGGAAGGAATTTCTGGCTCTTAGGCCATCACTCCTGGTGAAAAGCCATGACCTTATCTAGCTAATATATGGTAGTGCAGATTACTTGGAACAAGGAAAGCTTGGGGCAGTCTCCCTTCTTCACAAAGGGAGGGTACAGTATAGGTAGAGATTAGAAGTCCTATTTCTAGTTGACTCTTTAGATGCAGACAGGCATAGTCTGTCATGTGACATGTGAACAGGAATACAAGAAAACAGGAAGTTGAACTGGAAGCGGGGAGATAGTAGCGACAGATGTGTACACAGACAGTAAATGAATGACCTTAGTCCCAAATACCATCAAACTTTAGGTTTTTTTTAACCTCTCCCAACATGCATAATATAGTGCTATGCATATATACATTCTAAAGAAATACATTTTGAATGAATTTTCACAAGTAAGATAGGAGACAAAACCAGCCATTCCAATAAGAATTTGAAAATTAAACCACAGAGATGTTAAATGACTGGCCCAAAACAAAGGCAGGGTTTGAAATGGATCCTATACCATTGAACTCATATTTATAATACTTGATCTAACACGACTACTAGAACCTTTCATGTCACATTTTCATGGGTATGGAAAAGTTGAGAGGGTTGGGAATAAGGAATCAGGAGGTAGGGGGGAGGGAATGGTGTTTGGATGATAAGCCACAGGGGTTCAGGATCACTGGACTGTTAGGGACATGACCAGATCTGAGAATTTCATCACTGAATGGAAGGCACCACTTCATTTCCCGTATTAGGCTGGAGGCAAGTGCAGTAAGAGAAGGAAGGCCTAGAGTGACATGGTTAGAAGCAAGGTCCCCCTTCAAACCTTCTGGAGATTAGTCAGGGAAAAGGTACAGCAGGAGATGCAAGTTGAATCTGCATAGTAGGAGAAAGAAGTCCCATTGCCCTTCAACTTTCCTCTTCCTGTTCTGTCATAGAGCAGGCAGGATAGGAGATGGAAGGCCTGAGGTCAAAGGCAAGGTTTCTTCTTTTTGGGAGGTCAGGCAGGTGGCAGGAGGTGGAAGTTATATTGTGTGGGTACAGAACGAAGTTGTTGTTTGGGGTCATATGGAGGAGGCATGGCCTGGCCCCTCGCTGCCTTCCCTCAAGGGGTACACTTGTCCCTAGCAAGAAACAGAAGGCACAAGATACAAGATTAGAGGAATGTTTGGGCTCTTATCACCTGAGGAGGCTGGAAATCGGAAGGCAGTGATAGATACAGGTACAAAGTTACAAAGAAAGGCGAAAACAATCCCTGCTCTCAGAGCTCCCCTAATGATGCAAATGACATGCAAACCATGATACACACACACACACACAAACTCACAACAGAATAAATTGGAGATAACCTTAAAAGGAATGATCCTTGAAGAAAATGGGATTTTATAGGGAAGCCAGGAGGCAGAGAGGGGGGACAGAATTCCAGGCACAGAGGACAGCTAGTGAAAATGCATGGAGTCAGGAGATGGAATACTGTGTGTGAAGAACAACAAGGAAGCCAGTGTTATTATTCTGAAGAGCAATAGTGTCAAACTCAAATAGAAACAGAGTCCACTAAACCATACATAAAGAACCCCACAGGCTGCACAGACTTAGCCTCAAAACATAACTTTATCTATGTTCGAGTCTACTTTTACTTATTTTGTTAAATATTTTCCAATTACATTTTGATCAGATTTGCAGGGCACCCCTAGAGATTGTTGTGGGTCACGTGTGGTCACCTTTTTTTTTTTTTTAGGCAATTGGGTTAAGTGACTAGCCCAGGGTCACACAGCTAGTAAGTGTCAAGTATTTGGTCTTAGGCTGGATTTGAACTCAGGTCCTCCTGACTTCAGGGCTGGTGCTCTATCCTCTGAGCCACCTACCTGTCTCTGGTCACATTAAAGAGTATGTGGAGGGGAGTTAGGTATAAGAACACTGGAAAGATAGGAAGAGGCCAGGCTGTGAAGGACTTTAAAAGCCAGAGGATTATATATTTGATCCTGGATGTAACAGGAAGTCACTGTAATTTATTGAGCAGGAGATGACATGGTTGGACTTATACTTTAGGAAGATCACTTGGGTAGCTAAGTGGAAGTTGGACTCAAGTGGTGAGAAACTGGAGGGGGGGAGACCAACCAGAATGCTATTGCAATAGTTTAGAAATGAGATGATTGGGGCCTGTAAAAGGGTGGTGGCTGTGTCAAAGGAGAGAAGTTGGCAGATAGGAGAGATGTTGCAAAGGTAAAATTGACAGGACGTGGCAACTGATTGGATATGGGGGGTAAGAGAGTGAGGCATTGAGGATGACACCTAGGTTGAGAGCCTAGATGACTGGGAGGATGGGGGTATCCAATGGAGAGGTCAGGAAGAGATGAGTTCAATATTGGCCATGTTGAATTTAAGATGTCTATGGGACACAGTTCACGATACTTAATAGACAATTAGAGATGTGAAACTGGAATTCAGGAGAGAGTTTAGGGATGGATAAAGAGATCTGAGAATAATCTACATAGAAATGATAATTGGATCCATGGGAGCTGCTATCAACAAGTAAAATAGCCTAGTGAAAAGGCCTAGGAAAGAGACTTGAGATCATCTCCAATGATCCCCACAAATACAAAAGTTCCATTTTATCTCTGATCAGGCCTCCCATGGAACAGGAGTTGATTTTTGTCTTCACTGTGAACCAGGTTTATTACATTCACCCTCTTCTCTGCCCCCCCCCCAGGATTCTCTTCTCTGCCACTGGTATGAACCTCATTTTAGGGGCCTAATACTAGCGCTCCAGTTCTATTTAATCACTTAACACTATATTAACTTTTATGAAAAAATGTTTACTTCAAAAATATAGCAACAACAAACACAAAAAGTTTTCCCCAAGATATTGGGGGCATAATTCTCCTTTATACCACCTCAATGTCTGAGGAGGGAGATTAAGCTCACAGTTTAGAACAGTTCCGGCTGAGCATTAGTCCAATCCAAAATCCCCTGGGACTAGATTCTTGCTCCCTAGGGCTTCTTTACTAGGCTGGCTATAATACTTATCCTGGATTTCTGGACCCCTGGATGCCCATGACTTAAGATCATGAGTTGGAAACACCACTCTCTGCACTAAGAACAGAAAAAGACAAAAGAAAAGGCCAAAATCTCAAGGTCATTTCTTGGGTCCACACGGCCTAAAACGGGAAGGAAGAGGTGTGACCCTTTACCTTATGATGTGAGGGAAGTAGTTTTTTGCCTTCAGATAGGAATGCAGAAAAAAGCAATTTTAACACCCTTTGACTTCAAAGCCTGTCACACATGGTTGCAGTACTATGAAACAGTTGGTTTGTTGGTTGCAGGCTGTCTGTATGATTTCTTCACTAGGCCTAAACCTTATTGGCTTCCCATGGGCACCAAGAGCCACACTACCTGGGGACAGAAGTAGTGGAATCTTTGTGATAGCTATTCATCTTGATAAGAATAATCAGTTGTTACTTATTAGAGGCTTCATCACCCAAAGTTTTGACATGGACAAATTTTATTTTATGTTACAGTATTGGGGCACTTTATGGCAAGGTGAGTTCACCCAAAATTTGTATTTACATTTTAAATTCCACAGCAGTCTCTAATATATTATATGTGTATATGTATGTGTACGTATATACACACGTATGTATAGACATACACACATATGCATATATACATACATACATTTTCTATTATGTGTGTGTGTGTGGGTGTGTGTATACACACACACACACACATACATGCACACACCCACACACCCACATTGTACTCCAGATAGCAGTCAAAGGTCTGGTTTGCAACTTTGGAGATGATTTATACTGTAGTCTGAAGGATGCAATAGCAATGAATCAGATCTTAATGCTAGATGCAAATTTTCATAAATTTCTGTGACTAACTACAGGTCAAGGTGATGTATAGATGTTATTTTATTTTTTTAAAGTTTATTCATAACAGTTCTACTTCTAAATAAAAAGATACAGAAACATTCAATTTTGTACCTATAATTCAGTTCTCCACAGTGGACCCATTCCATTGCCTCATGGTGTGAAGATAACAATCCTGGATTTTCAAAGGTTACTGCTCATGAGGTACAGTCTCTGGTGGTTTACAAAGAAGTGAGTTAACAACAGTATCCCTGGCATTCTGGGTCTCCATTTTTGGAGGACCAGCTGATATAAGTTTAAGAGGCTTATCACCAGAAGGCTGGTCAGATGTAATAAATATTTTTAAACAAGTAACTCACAAGAGATGAGGCATGGGGGTGGTTAACATATAATTTAGTGGAGACAGTACCTACATTTAGGGAATCTTAGATCCTACAAAGTGTCAAATAACTAACAAACAGATCTGTTACATAATGAGGTCCTGTTTTCTTCAATGTTAGGGGTCTTATATGCAGTTAATATTTGTTTGCATTTTTAGCAATGGTGCAGCAGAATAATAAGCCTATATATTATATGACTATGAATGGCTTTTTAAGCAGACTAATAGTGTGTTGTGATATGAGAGCACAACATATATTTAGTGCATTTTCTAGGCACATGTTTATATTTTTGTCTTGTTCTAAGCTTAGAGTCACTGACTAGGACTTGAGTGAACTTAAATTATTACTGCAGGACTACTGTGGCGGCACAAGCTATAACTGAGGTCCAATGTTAAGATTCATTATTTCTAATAATGCATCATTGAAGTTTTTAAAACTATCATTTAAACAATAAAAGACATTTTAAAACTAAATACATTTTATACATAGCTTCTTGAATGCAAAACATTCAAGTGAAACAAAGAAGATTATCTTAATTATACAGTACCTGATTTTTTTTGGTGTATTTGCATATTGCATCCAAAACTACAGACTTTCCACAGTGCTTTTTTGCCTTATTCAAGTATAATAAAAGTAGGAATCTATAGAAGCTCTAGGGTTAAGCAAACTGTACATACATACAAGAAAAATTCAACTAATTTACAGAGAATCAAAAAGTATAGGCAATGCCCTTCATGAACCTTAGCAAAGACATATCACAATAAGGGATGTCACAATCCCAATATGTGTTCACTGCCATAAAAATACTATGTAATTGAGATGGTGCAGACACGAATAACTTGCTTAGGAATTACCTGACAAACGCAGCAACTAGAATCCTAACTGTACATTTGAATAAGCATATTAACTACCAAGTACAATACTTTTGATTCATGTACTAAATGTATTAATCTTAGGTGCAGTATTTTTCTTATTGCATATTTTTCTGTTGCTAAGACCATTATGACACCACAATGTGACACTCATATTAATTTTAAATAAATGAAAACATACCTGTCTACCAACAATGTACACCACATACTTTTATAATCACCATGAACAATGCTACATACATTTTTATATAACTGAAAAAATATGACCTTTATCTGCTAGAAAACAGATCTACATATTTGTGTCAACTAAATTATTCAAGAAAAAATATTGCACAAAATCCTATTAATTCTGAAATCTAATACACTTCCCTATAAATCCATATAATTCCCTAGTTACAACTGGATCAAAATATTAATTAATTTGCTCAAAAAAGCAACATCACCTCTTAAAATAAAAAAAAATACAGTAACATTATTATTGGAATCTAGATGGGAAAGGCGTCAATACTGATATAAGGGTTTTTTGAAAGTAGTTCCTACCTTAGGTCTGTGTGTGGGGGGGGTGTTTTGGGGGGTTCTTTGTTTTTGGCAATGAGACTTGGGAATTTATTTAACATTCTTGAATTTATTTTCTGATTTACTAAGAAGCAAGATGTTTCATAGTGAACAAAGAAGGACAACCTTAATAGCTGACTTTATAGTAGCTACTTTGTTTAGAAGAAGAATAAAAATCTTAAAACCCCCCAAATTTATAGTGTTTCTCTCTTAGTAAATATAGTCTCAGCTTTTTCCCCCTTTGTTATGAATCTGCCCAACTCGCTAAAAAAAAAAACAACAACCCATGAAATTCAATGGCATTTCAGAAGGTATATAGTAAGGCTACTATAGCATTAACTAAAAATTATGCAGTAGATAAAAGGATGAATGTGTCTTCACCAATAGATCAAGTGGCAATCCATAAAAAATGGATCCTCTATCAGTCTGAATTTACCATATTGACATAAGAAACTAATCTTTTTTTTTCTGGAAGAGGAGGAAGTTTCTGTTTTTCTTGATTAAATTCTTATAATAGTTTAATACAATGTGCTAAAATGACATTCTCATTCACATTTTAAAAGGACTCTGGTAATAGCCTTTAAACGACAGTTGTGGAAGTCCACATTATAATAATTAGCATATTAGACTGAAAAGAGAGCTGAAAACTGGGAATATCTTCTAAAAGTCTTTACTCACAGGGTTCTTTAACTTGACCAGCTACAGAAGCCTTTTCCTTCCCTTTCTGAGAAAACTTTGGCCCGTTAGTGACTTCTATACAAAATACAAGTTTTTTTTAAATTGATGGTCACAGTTATTAGATAATTAATGCTTATTACACTGAATCAATATTACCTTAAGGATGTGAAAATGCTTTCCATTTTACATTAGATTGCAAATTCTTTGAGGGCAGGGATTGTCATTAATACAGCTTTATAAATTCTCCATAGTCTAACACAGTACCTTTATACATACTTGGTACTCAAATAAATATTTACTGAATAACTGAAATGTTAATTATTTAATCAGAAAAGAAAATCCTGTTCTATATTTATGGCTTTACATTTATTCAAAAAGATATAATCACTAAATGTGCCACTTTTTGTTTAAACAAAATTACAGTTTCTAAGTCTGCATTTTCTTGTTCCTAACTTTCCTTTCCCTTCTTCTTCTTCTTCTTCTTCTTCTTCTTCAAAAATAGAGTATAAATGATCCACAGGACAACTGGATCAAAGTCGGAAGCATACAGGACTCTTTGTTGATAGGAATTAAATAATGGCCAAGACTTTGTTGAGGAAAGATAGCAAAATCAAAAGTCCTTATTAAGCAATATAATCCTCATTCTAAAAATTCTTTCATGATAATTTTCTTTCATAGAAGAGAGAAATTATAATTTCAATTGCTGTTTCATCATAAGTTATCAATAATTTTAGAAAAGGAAGAAAGAAAGAAATTAAGAATAGTTTAATTCTTGGACCATTCTAATTAGAATACCTACAACACTATGAAGACTGCTGACCTATAAATATAGATATAAATTAATGCCTTGAAATACCAGTGTTGACTACTTTTTTGGGGCTATTTTGACAGTAACAAAGGATTTTAAAATTATGGATAACTACCAATTTTATATGCTTAAATAAGGCACAAATATTAGCCTTTAAAATATCATTGAAACTACAAAATAACTTATACAATCTTAAAAATGTACCTTAAATCACTTAATCAAATATGTAAGTTAGATATTTATGGCAAAACATTTTTCAACAAAATGATCATATCTGTATAATTGCCTACCTTGTACACTGTCTGAAGGATTTAGGAGGCAAACATAGGTCATGGGATACAATCATCATTCATGCAATTAAGCAAATGGATGAAAATTAATTTTACATAGCCTAGATTTCAGTATTTTTCAAAGTTCAGAGATATGAATGATTCCTAAAGCAATAGTTTACATCAAAATTCATTTTTAAGAACTATATATCTCAGTTAAGTGTTTTTGCAAATAGTAAAGTGGGACTTGCCAATTAAGGTAGGTGATATAATTTGCTTTTCAGAAATTGTTTAAGAATCCTACAGTTCTTTTTTATTATTTAAAAGCAAATTCACAAAATAAAATCTTTTTATTGCATATAACCCCTTAATGAATTACAATGGAAATTTGGAATGAGCAGATTAAGGCAATATTTGATAAAGCCTTGAGTTTTTGTATTATAAAAAGATACTTCAAAATTTTTTTTCTTCAGAAAAGGTTAACAGTTTCACATTATTCTTTCCATTTGAAACCTAAATGGATGTAAAAATGTCTACTGTATTTTGGAGTGTGGATAGGAAAAAAAAACATAACCCTTGCTTTGCTCAAATATTTTAAAGACAAAGGGTAACTCTTTTTTATATTTTTAAAAAAGATCTTTGGCAACTAAAAAAATATACTTAAGAAAAACCAAGCATATGTGGAAAAAGTATTCTTTTAGTAAATATTTCATAGTGAAGGTCTAATGTTTATTGGACTGCCTCTCAAAATCCTCCAAGTAAACCATTTAATTATCTTTTCCTAAAAATAGCGTCCATTTTTAAAATTTCTAATGATATAGTTGCGTATTATATAAAAAAGTTGCAGAACCCAATTAAAACATAACATTTCACTGCTTTTTCTAGCTGTACTTTTGGATCTATCCTATACCACTATGAAACAGATCATTATTCCTTTCTAAAATCCAAGAAGATGTTACACCTAATTTAAAATTTCAAAATCCAGAAAGATGTTAAAATTCAAAGTAAATGGTATTTCAAAAGATTAGTTCATAAAAATAAAATAAATCTTAGCAACATAGTCTATGAATTCAGTTTATACCACATTTCCCTTTCTCAAGACTCCTAGATAGTAGAGATGTACATGGGGACAATAGAAACTATTTAAAGTGTCTCAGTTGTAAACAGAAATTCACTGACTTCACATTATGCTTTAGCACTTCATATACTGAGTAAAAGGTGTGTTCGTACCTGTCAAATTTTGGAAGACATGGCCTTATTTTTCTTTCTATAACTCATATGCAACATTTCTTTGAATTTCTTTTAATTTAAAAAAAGTACTTTTGGCCCTTGAATCAATGCTTAAAAAGTTATTATTGCTCTTGAGAACATTTGCCTTCTGAGACAATTAAGCATAGTCCCATAATTCACTCACGATCATTGTATAATATTTAATATAGGCTTAAGATTAAGGCAATTTGCTGATCAGTATTTTAAGAGTTTCAGGCTCATTTTATAACAACTTGTTCAGCTCATGCTCAACCAAAGGGATGCAGTACTAATTGGTTATCTGAAAGTCATATATGTTTCCCTCTGGATAAATGAAATGGATGACATTAAGCACCATATTCCAGGGGCAATCATGTTAAATATGTAGACTCAACAAACTAGTACCTGATCTAAAAGCACAACATCACAGTTGGCTTTATCTTTAAGACTCCAAATAAACAAATCAATAGATGAAATAGCCATTAAATTACTGAACAGGTGAAATTCATGTACCAAGCCAAACAGTATTTCAAAATTATAAGAGTTATGATTCCTACAAAACTTGTTTAACACATAACTTGAAAGTCTAAGAGGATTCCCTATGAATTTTTGAAGGAAGTGATCTCCCCTTTGACAACCAACTTAAGCTTTATTTCCACTGCTGTTATCCTCTGAAATGTTCAAACCATGATGGAAAGCAGATGTCATATGACATAACGTCACGACTTCATGAAGTAGTCCAGCCTCTCCAGAAGTTTCCTTTGCTTCATTCCCATCTTTTTCCCAAGGAACTAGAGTAGATAGATGTCGTCTAAGGCTGAGATTAAGTTGATCATCTGAGGTATGGCTTAGTGTTTCATTATTTTCAGTTTTTCCTTGGAAAGGACTATCTGTCTGTGAATCTTCTGAAGAATCAAGTTGTAAAACTGATTCTGCAGGAGAAGTTGAATTTACCACCATCACTGGGCAATTCACATTGTTGGCACTGAGGTGTTTTTCATTGTTTTCCTCTTTCAGAATGAAGAGAGATTCTGTTAAACCAGCAGAAGAAGCATGTTTTCTTGGGGATGGTGGGAGATGTTTCCCATGGACAGCGCTATCATCCTGACCAAGATTCCATTCAGCTTGATCATTAGAACTGCCACAAAGTATAGCCAGATTACTCTCACTAGGTGCATTGGATTTGTTCTGAAAGAATATACAATTTAAGACATAAATTTTTTTTAAGAAAACTTCATAGCTTTTCCTTGGCATTTTAAAAATTTCAAAATAAATGTTCAACTCTATAAAGAATGTAACTGAAGGTGTTAACTAAATTCTCCCAAATTTCTCCATTGGTACTGATAAGAATTGAAACAGAAGTTAAGCTTCTATGCCCATACTATTTTTGGACTTTCACCTTGGAACTTACACATTCAATGTCATATAGGGTAGATGTTTGGTCTTCTCTGGTAACAACAGCCATAATCTTATCATGTCTGCTATTTTATAATGCAGTATGCAGACTATTATTAATCTTTAAGCTAATAAAAATAGAAGCTATTTATAAATAAATAAATGTCAAAATCTCTCTGTTTTAGTATTATCTGGGAACTCCAGAGCAACATACTTCATGTAAATGTTTCCCCAAAGAAGGCAAGTATAAAATGGATTGAAAGATAATGTTTTTTGTTTGACAGAAAGAAATCTAATTAGTGACAGCAGTGGCTTGAACCAGGGAACCTACAGGGAAATACTAGCATTTGATAACTAAGCATAAATTTAGGTAATAAAATGGCACTATGTTTTTTGAAGTACTGGCATTTACCTAACACAGCATAGCATAAAATGACTTTAAACAATCTACAGATTTTATCATAGGCCCAGACAATCACAGCAAATGAAAAGGAGTATCAGATAGTCTGTAAGCTGAAACACTGAATTGCAAAAGCAAAAAAAGAGAAAAGACTAACCGTAGGCTTGTAATCAATATCATCCATTGATCTAAAAAAAAATCCAGGCTCTTTGCTGCTGATAGCTTTCCTTGATCTGAGCTATGTGTACTCAAAGTATCAAGGATTTCTCCTAGTAAGTCCATTTCACCTGGGTAATAAGTCTTTACTCTAGCTTCAACAGAATCATCACTCTCATAAAAATAAGCAGAAGCTTCCTCACTGTCCTCTGATGATAACCTAAAGAAAAAAGAAAGGACAGACTGAAGGTATGCAAAAAGACAGTGTCTAGATTGCAAAATCTGCATGTAAACACCTTTTGATCAATTATAATATTCATGATTAAATTTTGAATCAAAGAGTATGTTTCAATTGAACCAAAAGATAGGAAAAATACATGATGTACTTCATAACCAAAGTTTTTGAAGCACAGGGACTTTGACTTTTATAGCAATTCAACTTTTGTTGATTTTAATAGAATGCAAAAATAGACAGAAGTTATCCTAAGGCATTAAGACTTTAAGTTTGAGAACGAATACAAAATCTTCAACTATAATCAATCAATATACACTTATTAAGCACCAACCATTATAATAGGTGCTCAAGACACAAAGACAAAAATGAAATCATTACTGCCCCCAAGGAATAAACATTCCACAGGGGGAGGAAAAATGTAAACATTAAAGAGTATACAAAATACAAGGTAGTTTTGAGGACAGGACATTAGCAGTTTTGGGGGAGGGATCAGAAAAGAAGGTAGCAGTCAAGCTGATCTTTAATGTTGACTAAGCTATCTAAGAGGTAGAATTAAGGAGGAAATACATTCCAGAAAATGTGGAATTCCTGTGCAAAGGGAGGAATGCTATGTGTGAGGAATAGAAAGGCCAGTTGTTCATCTGGTCTGCCTACCTTCCTTCCTTCTGTTTTTCATTCCTTCCTTCCTATCTTTCTCACTTTGTTTATTTATTTTGATATTGAGTCTCTCTATCTTACCCAGGCTTGCTATGAAGCCACAGCAATTACTATGGCCTCATCCTACTATTTATTGGCCCTTTAACCTGCTCCAGTTCATTCTTTTTCAGGTACTATAGTGCTCTTCCTTCTCCCCAACTCAAAGGAGGTAGGGGGCTTACCATATTAATATCCTTAGTGCAGATAGTTGATTGGCTCTTGTCCTACTGTAACTCAAAAGTCCCAACCTCATGGTTACCACTAGACTCAGTCTCCCTTAACAGAGATTACAGGCATGTGCCTGGGAAGATCTAGTTGTTTATAAGACTGTACTGTACTACATTACTTTTCTGAAATATCTCCTGAGACCCAAAGCATCAGTTACTTTAAGACCTCAGGTTATATGACAACAAGTAATTTACTCACTTGCTTGCTCTGTCCATGTCATCATCTTCATCTTCAAACAGGACAGAGTCGGTGCTTTTCATTGGTCTTTTTAAGCGTGCCTAAAAGTTATGATTAATAATAAATGATCAGTTTATATGCAATTTCTAGAACAACATTACTTTGAGGAAGAGTTGAAAATAAATATCCATTCAGGGTTGTTTATCAAATAGTTCTTGTTTAATAACTTGTCAAGAATAGAGAATTGGGCAGCTATTTCTTTGGTAACTTCATCATAAAAATCCCCTACACCTCTCTCTCAAATATATGTGGATATGTCTGTGTATATTGTGTATATATGTACACACATTTCATTCTTAACTTATAAATAGTACAAATAATCCATTTCTACAAGTAAGTAAATAGAAGTATTAAAAATCTAACCCTCTGCCTGAAACATCATTTGAGGTAACTGCCCTTTGTTCCTTAATTCAAAACCACTGGGAAGCGTCCAATGAAGAAAACTGATAACTACAAACCAGGACTATCTAGGATGCTGCCTAGTGAGTTATACCTCTACTTCCAAGATAGACAAATAAAGAAGCATTTATTCATTTACAACATGTAGGCACTGTGTTGAGCTGGAAATACAAATAATAAGCAAGGAATGCTTCAGAGAGCTTATACACTAATGGGAGAAGACAATAAAGAGGGCTGGGATGATGAGAAGATGGCTTTGACGTGGCATGGAGGTCTTGGCAATTTTGAGATAGGGTAAAAGCTCACCTATCAGAACCCAAAGACCTGGCAACAAAATACAACATTCTGATGGGATGGAGATGAGAATGATGTTCAGAGAGCAGATGGCATGTTCAAGATATAGTCAGAAGTCTTTAAGAAAGAAGTCTGATAATTCATGTCATTGATTCATGTCATAATCCAAGCATTTATTTCACATTTATTACATTCACAGTATTATGCTAGGTACTGTGGATACATCGATAAACAAATAATTCTAGCTCTCAAGTGCCTTACATTGTACTAGCAGAATACAACTCATATACAGATAAATATAAAATAATTTGAGGAGAAAGAGTGCTAACAATAAGGTGGATGAGGAAAGGCTTTCTGTTGGAGGTTGTCCCTAATCTGGGTCTTGAAGGAAGCTAGAGGTTCTAAGAGGAGAGATGACATGAGAGAGCATTCTAAGTATGCTAGTGCAAAGGAACAGGGGCACATATGGAGAACAAGTGAGGAAGCCAGCCCTCCTGGAGGGGAGAGGGTAGGAAGAGGAACAATAAGGAGAGAGAGAGAAAAAGAGAGAGAGAGAGAGAGAGAGAGAGAGAAGGGAGCTAGATTGTGAATGACAGGAAATGCAAATTAGAGGAGCTTGAACTTCATTCTTAAGGCAACACAAAGTCATTGCAGTTTATTAAGAAGAGAAGTGACATGGTCAGCCCTGCCCTTTACAATGAAAACCTGACAGCTGGGTGAAAGAAGAATTATAGAGGAGAAAGAATAGATTAAAGAAACCAGGTAGAAGTGTTGAGTGTCTGGATTATGGTGGTTATGGTATGAACAGAGAGGAGAAAGATTTGATAGATATTGAGGAAATGGAATGGACAAGACTCAGTAAATAACTGGATATGCGGGTGAGGGAAAGTTAAGATTTGAACCTGAGTAACTGGAAGGATAGTGATTTCCTTAATAGAAGTAATTAAGGTAATAGAAGAGCAGGTTTAGGGGAAAAGAGAATCAGTTCTGTTTCAGACATGCTGAATTTGAGACACCCAAGCAGAAATGTCAAACAGGAAAGGGAAATAAAGATTAAATATATACATTTTGAGATTCATCTGTATAGGGATGGATGATAGATTACTCTATGGGAGCTGAAGAGATCACACAGATACAAGAGGAACCATGACAGAATTCTGTGGTACACTGATGGATGGGGGTAGGACATCGACAATAAACCTGCAAAGGAGATTCAAATGTATCAGTTCAACAAGTAGTAAGAGAACAACAGTGCAGTGTCAAAAACCCCCCAAAAACCCCAAAATGAAACAAAACAAAACAAGGAAGAGAAATTATCAGAGTAAGGAGAATTAAGTTTTTAAGAATTAAGTTTTCTGCAGGGAAAACATTGAAGATGTGGACTGAGGAAAGACCATTGTATTCATCAATGTCAGGGAAGGAATGTTCATGGTAGGATAGACTAATTAAATTAAGTGTTCTGTTTTCCCTTAAATTGTCAACTCCAACCATTTGTTTGGCTAGTACTCGGATTTTATTAGAACCACTAGTGTTTGACTTTAAAGCATGATGAGTTTGAATTTCACAAGTATGTTTGAATTTCACTTTTTTATCAATGTACAGTGTAAATGGACTAGTAATCAATACATAGCATCTAAAAAAGTGACTAGTCTTTACAAAAGAATTAGCAATAAATGAATAAACTGTTGCACCTTTTATATTATCAGTGTCTTACAATTTAATAGACTATACAAACACAGTTAAAATGTTAAGTATAATTTAATATTTGATCCATTAAACATTTACTGGACATCTACAGGACACTGAACATTTTGGAGAAATCAGTTGCCTACTTTGAAACAGTATCTATTTTAAAATTTAAATACTGAAGAATGTGTTTTAGTTACTTGCATGCTGTAGTAAGAGCAACTGTAATATCTAATACCTGGTGAGGAATGTTCAGGAGGTGAGAGTATTGGCTTTCTATTAATTGTAGGAACATCATAACTAAGTCAATAGAAGAGAAAACTATTTTAAAATAAATAATGCCAAATGACTAATGTGGAAAAAAAGAACAGGATTAATGAACAAAAACAACTTCTGATTAATGGTGATAAAATTAGCTGCCAAAAAGTTTTGCCTCTACCTTGTGAGGCTTTTTTGTGCAATATGCAAATTAGCAGAAGTGTTTCCTATGAAAATTTTCTACTCATACTATCACCGACCATTATTTCCAGCAAATTATAGGGGAGACAGTGCCCTATGACAGAAAGAGACTTGGTTTTGGAGTCTGGGGACTTGGGTTCAAATCTGGCCTCTGACTGGTTACTCTCTGTGTCATGGCAGGCAAGTCCTTAACTTCTCTGGGCCTCAGCTTCCTCATCTGCAAAATGAAGTTATTTTACATGGCCTCTAATATCACTTCCACCTCTAAATCTATAATCCCATTATCTGTGGCACTGAAAAAAATGTTACACATATTCAGGTGGAATATTATATTAGAACATTACATGAGAAAATACAACATGAGAAAAATGATTCAAGTTATAACTTTGAAAATAGAGGTCAGCAGAAAACTGAGATTGAATTAATTTACATTGCAGAAAATTTTCTACATTTGGAGCTGCATATGTAAAATGTGAACAAGAATAACAAACATTGGCTAATCTAGCTTTCTTCAATATTTTCACAATCCACATTAAGAAATCATGAGTTCCAATAAAATTGTCTATAAATGAGAGGAATGACAATCTCAAAAGTTACAATGAGAGGAAAAAGTTTCATTTATCTATTTGTGATGCCTGTCTTTGTGGAGAATAACCAGGTGCAGGTATCAAAGGAATGAATTATGTATTAGCAGAGATCACATTTGGTCAGAAAATAGTTTTATTACAGATGTAGACAAAAATCTCAAATTAGCAAGTGTATTATGATCTTTCTGAGGGTCAATAAACACTTTTACCATAAAATATCAGCTAGAGCTCCTTGGATCACACCAAGCTAGTCAAAACACAGCACAGCATGCATTGGTGAATGGTAAATTTTCTTTTAGAGTGCTAATAAAACAGACAAGGAGGGAAAGACAGGCACAGATTGTATATGAAAAAAAAAAGAGGAAAAGGAAAAACACATTTTAAAAGGAAAACTATAAATGTATTTTCAAAGTTCTGCTAGTTGTTGCAGCATAATACATACAGCTGCAAAATCTGTCATACATTTAGACAAACCTTCCATTGCCTATATACCCTGCTGTTTGCAGTTATTTAAGCTTTTAGTTTCTGTCTTTTCTGCATTGTGAAGTGTGTGCTACTTTTCCCATAAATTTCATGATCTGACTTATATTAGCCTCTTTGCTTAAATTTATTACCACAAGGAACAAAACCCCAACATCCATTTTTTGTTGCTGTATAATACTATAGTATTAATAGAATATAATGATATCAGTTGTATATTCATAAAATCAGCAAGTCTAAAATTCATTGTTTCCAGAAAGTATATTATATTGATTTTTAAAGATGACTAACTTCATTTTTTAAATAAAGTAGTCAGATTCTAGTTATAAAGTCACAAGCTCGCTGGGCCTAAAAATACCATGTGCTCTATTTTTGAACTTGCCACACGTTTGTGTGACTTTAGATAAATATCTTACTTAAGTTCTCTATGGAATGGGGACAATGACTAATCATTAACTGTTTTGGGTAGATTAATGTGTTTTTGCAATATGATGAGAAATACTGAAGAATATGACAGAGAATGTACACAAATTATTTCTACCAAGACTATTGATTACAACCTTTTACCTCAACCAGAATTGTTCACATATTGTTGATTGTAGCTAGGTGGTATAATAGCTAGAGTGCTGGACTTAAAGTGGGGAAAAGAAGAAGAATCTGTTGGATTTTATAGCTGATTGGCTATAGTGGGTAAAAGGTAATTAAAATTTCCTTTTAGTCTGAAGTTGAGGAGTATCATTTCAGATAAAAAAATTAGATTGGTTTTCAATATTTCAAATTGCAAAACAGATGAAATTAAGGAAAGAAATCTTAATGATATTAAACAGTTACATATGACACAACTTCATAGATAAAGTTCTTATACACACACACACACACACACACACACACACATACACACACAACATAGCAACACTGCTGGGCATATAGTAGGAACTTAATAAAAAACTTGTTGGTTGATCCAGAGATAATTTTTCTTAAAAGGTATAGCATCATTAATTACGTCAAGGAAAGATTTTTCTAATGTCTAAAAAGTTGGAACTTGTCCTGGAATATTATACATATTAATTAACAAGTGTTTTTAAAATTCTGACTAAAAAACATATCGGAGACTAAAGGTAAAAATATTAGAAACA